CGTGAACTCTCAGAAACGTGTTCGGAACTAGACCTCAGCATTTCGATTCGGTGGATCACATACTGAATTTTAACAACCATATTAACCACTCACTGTGAAGGGAACTTGAGGTCAGTAGCTCAGCTTGGTGGTGTGTCTCACACTTCAACTAAATGAGATTTTGAAGACATTGTAATCAAACAGAAGCAAGATGCTACATAATGCTCAGTCGTTACACATTCTCAAGAGTTTTACTAGTGAATGGTAGTGTCACGTTGCTAATTTTTGTTACATTTGCCCTCTCCATTTATGTATGATCCTCAAGGATTTTGTAGATTCGACTATTCAGCTCAATCCACCTCAGCCTGTGAAAAAAGTGTTGGTTTTTTTCCTGGTTGGTAGTGAGTAAACATAGTCCAAACTTGGTGTTTTGTAAACTGTGGTGTTCAGCAGCTCAGCATACAGGGTGTTTATCACCAGAGCTCTAGCACAGCCCTCTCCAGCAGAAGGATCAAATTCTACTCTTGTTACATGGACAGAATTCAGTCAAATTTAAAAGGGGTGGCAGTGGCCATTTTGATTGGCAATGCATTCCTCGATGGCAAAGTGATATATCCAAGCTAGGAATGACTTGGCTTGCGTAACTTGCTGTTTCTTGCTGTGATCTGTCAACAGTGTGAAACTGGAAAATGGTATTTTATGCAGGGGTTAAGATTTGCTTCTTCTTGTTGTTGTTGTCTGTTTTCATCGTGAATTTCAACGTTATATATGTGCTGAAATCTCTATTTTCATTTATTAACTGTATTTGTATGGAATATTTAGATGACAACCTGAAGCCCTGAATGATGATGAATCTCCCTGCTCTTCAGAACAGCCAGAGTTAGTATGAAATAAAATTACATCCACCTTGGGTCTCAAGCATTCTTTACTCCCAACATGCATGTTGGCAACAAAATCACCCACGTGCTGTGTGGGTCCAAAGCCAAGTGTAAGCAGGAGATGGGGCCCCATCCTTGGGCACACCTCCCTCTGCTTTGAGGGGAGGAATTAGAGCAGTGAGCTGCTGGCCAGGGCAGTTTTCACTCATTTTGTGCCACCTTTGGGGGCACAATGTCACTGGGGAGAGCGGTGATGTGGTGAAGGAGCAGGTTAGTGCAGGATCAGGGAGGTCAGGTGGGGCTGCAGCTCTCTGGGGGTCTCTGGGGTTTGCCTTGGAATCCCAGGGCTTTCCTATGTGGGGGAAAGAGCTATCGCTCATTTGCAGGGGCCCTGCAGTGAAAATCCCAGCCTGCTCCCCAAATCTGAACACGGATAAAGATTCCTTTCAAAAGGTGACACGACAGAAAGCTCTTGCTGCCCATGGAGCGCCCAGGGTGGCCCACCCACTGCACAAAATAGCCAAAGGCTTGATTTCGGGGGGTAAAGGGCTGCTTGTCGAAGCCCTGAGCTGAAATTGGCCGTCCTGAGTCCCAAAAGTGAACAGGGACGAAGATTCCTCCCGGACAAAAATTCTTTCACACACAGAAAGCTCTTGTTGCAGGACACGCAACGAGACACGTGCAGGGGACACACACACACACACGTGCATGTGTGTACAAGACACACACACAGAACACGTGCAGGACGCACCCGCGTGTGCAAGACTCACAGAAACACACACACGCGCCCGTGCCCTTGCACACGCGTGGGCGTGGTCGCAGCGACGCCGGGGGAACGGCGGGGAGTGGAGTTGGGGGAAGTGGGAGGGGGGGTGTGTGAGAGGATGAATCACTGCGCGGCCTGGGCCGCGCTGAGTCACCCGGGCCGGGGTGACGCGCGGGGGAAGGGGGGAGGGGGGGGCACACGCGTGTGCACATGTGACACGCGTGGGGAAAAAGGTGGGCGCGGCCCTTTAAGAGGCGAGGCCGCGGCTCCCCTGCCCGCCGCCAGGCGGCGCCAAAGCCCCGCGGCGGGAAGTTC